TCGTATTGTTTTTCGGCTTGAAGTTAAAGCGGCCTGTATCAGAGAAGCTGTTGCGATCATACATTTCTTGTAGTTCTGTCCGGTGGAAACATTTTTTTAGTCGTACATAATACGGAAAATATTTACTGCTTTATTGTTTGAAGTGTGCAAAATTCGACGGGATTTTATGATCGGCCAAAAAAAACATTTAATTGCAAGTCAAAACTAAGCGTGTGCGAAAGCCGTACAATGCTCCTGAAAATTCTAAAATTTTCTAAGCCGTACATAACCTAGAAAAATGCTGTTGAAATTACAACCTTTTGTTTTGTCTGGTTGCGAAGTTGGAAAATCCTCGCCAAACTTTACATGTCTGTTAATAAATATAGACATATGTGGAAGTCAAATCTGAAATTTTCGGTGTCACACACGGGAATTCAGCATCCTCAAATTTTAATTTCCTAGCTTTACTGATTCTAGAACTAGTAATTTTTCCGCCAAAACTTTCATGTGTTCGTGATTAACGTCTAGGTCTACTTTTACGATAAGTAATTGGAAGCTGAATTTAAAAAATTTCAGCTTCCTGGCTTTTCCCGTCTCTGAGCTGAAAATTTTCCGGACAAAACACATCCTAAATACCCATGTACTCATATTCGCGTATACGCATATATATGTATACACACTTATACACAGACACAAAAACACGCTTAAATACACACGCATGCACGCAAAGTTTGTGAAACTGCTACAGTACAAAATGCATAATCAGATTTCTCCGGTTTGATTTACTTGCTTTGGGTTAAATCCAAAACATAGGAAGCTTATTGTTTCATCAGATTTAGAGCGCAAATAGAGACATTAAAAGCAGGGTTTTCCTTTTCTCGGTTTAAGAACGTCAGGCTAACAGTTTTTACTGGTCGCAACGAAACAACAGCTGCATCCTTCAAAAATACTGATGCAGTTTGCTGAAGTGCGCAACCGCAGCAGCTCGCCGCCCAAATTACAGGACCCTAGCATTTCTCTAGGGTCAAATTTGGCTCCAGTTTACCAGCAGATCCCCGTTGGTAGTGCTCGATTATAGATGTACTGTCTCTTCCCTACCCTCCGTCCCCATTCGTCCTCTTTCCTTCTCGGCTATATTCTCATACTTAAATCTTTTTGCTTGCCCGGAGCAGTGTTTGGAATTCAATTTCACTGTCGCTGTCCGGGCCCATCCGATTCTCTTTCCTCATTTCCGCCTTTTCCATGTATCAAATTGCTCTTGCGGGCAATCCGTTTCTTTGAAAAGATGCGCCCTCGTAATTCCAGACCTGCTGCTACTGGCGAAAATTTGTTGCTGGTTTACCAGTTTGCATAAACTTGTAGTTAAATTACTGATCTTTTTATAAATTTCTGATCTTTTTATAAATTTATACAGTAAATAATTACTGGGCAAATTTTTATCTGAATAAGGGACAAATGTTTTTTGATGAACGGCTGTCTAGCAAAATTTCCATTTTTTAGTGGACTGGAAATTTGCATTTTTTCAAAAAGCGAACGTTTACCGAAAAAATGGTCGGGCTTCGTGCAAAAAACTGGTAATCATGTATCTGGAGATCCATAAGCTCTATAGTGCACCACCTTCATCTCAACCGATGCACTTCCTCCTACATGTCGGAAAGGGTCAAAGCACGGCCAATACGAGCTCAGGTGTTAGTCTACAGCGCAGGGATCATTCCTGCTATTAGCAACCAGCGAGTTTAGTGCAAGACGCATGATTGCAACGGCAAGCCTGGTGCGTTCCAGCCTGGTTTGTGCTTCAGGCGACTAAAGAAAGCGCAAGTGCTTCTATTCCCCCAATTGCAGTAGGAATTGTATTGGTTTTCGTATTTGCTTAACCAGAAACGCAATATTTGTCTCTCCTTTTTGGGTCGTCTAAATTTACAGATTTCGGTAATCTCACCAAAAATTTATTTCGTGTTGTTCTTACTGATTTTTTGGCTGACAAAACTGTGCCCGGTCTTAGGAAACATCCCAGTAAAATCCTAGTACGGGCTGTTTTCGCAATTCTTTTGTTTTCACTTTGACTTTCATTCCATCCAGTTTTCTTTAGTCATATAGTATTACAACAACCATATTACTGATAAAAAATGCATTCGTCGTACTAAAGAGGAATATCCAGTGCTTAATCGACTGAAATAACTTTGTTTGGAATTATCATTCTTATTTCAGTGTTTTCTCACAGTGTTTTGATTTTTATGCATTTCAAAATATACGCAAATTGCAAAAACGCATATTGGGAAAAGGCTGTGTGTGTGTGTGTCTGTCTGTCTGTCTGTCTGTGTGTTCGTACTTTTTGTCACTTACTTTCAACTCAAGAATCAGAAAAGCTAGAAGGCTGAAACTTTGGGAGTATGTGCCCATACCATGCGCGAGCC